AATACACTGATTTGATAAATAACATCGTGCATAAAAAGTACAGTAAACCATATGCAAGCATACTCCTGGGATAAAATGTATTTTGGGCTGTTCATACCTCAAATAGATAGGATAGTGATCACACTATATCCATTTCTCAAGTTCATATGCATTCTGCTGTGTTCCAAAGGTTTATCTGATAAACTCACTATGAAAAAAGTGAGATATAGGGGGTGGGATCTGATAGCATTACTAGCAACAAAAAGTAGTTCTTACAAGGCAGTTACAGCAGTTCCCAACTCCAAACGTTAGCTAAGGGCTGTTTAAAGTGGCTCCTGAGAAGCAAAAAGGCTTTCCAAATGCAAAACCTAATACAGAAGATAGAGCTCAATGCACCAGACTGTCAGCTGGGAAAGCTCCGGTTAGAATTTAGGAAAGCCTAACTACAACCTTTAGATAAATGGTAAATGTCACAGCATCAAGAACTGAAACGGTATCATCTCATCAACGAAAACATGGCAAGCAATGCTTCAGTAAAAACTGAACACTTGTCTTCCTAAAAGGCAATGCAGGGCAATGAAGAAAAGGCCAAGAGAAGTTGAAGCACATTAGGGAATGGAGTTCTGCCTTACAATCCTTTTGCTTTATGCACTGGAAAGTGCCATCTCCTCTCAGTGTTTAGTTTGATTCTTCATACTGCGGTTAATGACATGCATTCATCTCGGGAATGGGAATGAAACAAGAAATAGTGGACATTTTTACCACATATCTGAATAAGAAAAAATACTGAAGGTAATGTGAATGCAAATAGGATGCAGGTGAAAGTGAAATTCTTGTCAAGACATGCAATGATATATCAATCTAGAGCCATTCTGTCTGCAAAATTAGCAAACTAATCTGCTTTGGTCATTCATCAAGAAAGATGACTTTTCCCCAGAATAACCCGAGTTCCTGAAGAAACAATGTGTGTGTTTCTGTGAAAACAATAACCATGAATGGTTTTAAACAGTTCTATAAAATAGGGTTCAGTACAAACAGAAGAGGCAATTATTGCCTTCCTCTAGTTTCTTTTTAAGAAATAAAGACACTGAATCTTTTCCCATAATAAGAAGAGCAAAGTCACTGAGTGGGTATGAGAAACAACTGGTTTGGAACATTCGGCTATAACTGCAAACTTAGTACTCAAATCCACCACTTTTACTTAAAAAGTCATAGCAAGGAAACCAGGACTCACCACACTGCAGTTACACTTTCCTTAGGGGATTTTTAATGTTCACAAAGCTCTTATCAGCTCCTATTATTACTAACAAAGCAACATGCAGCCTTGTACATTTAGTACTACTGGATTAAGTCTAATTCCTACATAACAGCAAAGATGACTTGGAAAATTAGAGAAACAAGCTCACCAGCTGAAAGAATGATGAAGTGAAACTAAGAGATTCAGTGACCACAGAATCAAAAAATCTCAAAGGAATAGTTCAGAGACAAGCAAAGCTGCAGCATGAAACCAAGACACGAGAAAAGGGTGTATTAATCATCAAGTGGAAAAAAAAAGACCTCTTAACTAACCTTTTATCTAGCTAACAGTTAGCTAGGAGGGTTGCTATGTATTTCATCAGAAACGTTTAAACTATGAATTTATATCTGCTTCAATTCTATGGCAACATGACAATGACTAAGGAAAAAAGGAATCTCCGCAAGCTGTTGATTTCCACTTCTAGGACATAAACATGCACATCAGAGCAGAGCAAGGACATTGTTCCTGCTACCCTTCTGCTTGAAAAAAATCACTAGAAGTTGAAATCAGTTTTTCTAGAACACTGACAAAGAAGAAGGGATCAATCAGTAAGTTTCTTTGAGGCTGGACAAGATACATGAAAGCTTAAGGCATATTTTCTGAAAGAATATTGAGAATGGAATGCTGAAGCCTGAGCAAGTTTTGGAGCAGCTTCCATTTATCACTGTCAGACTACAGAAATCCCACTCCTCTCTCAGGCTCTTTTAGAAAACTCTTCTTAAGCAGGAATTATACCTATAACTGGCACTCTAGATCAGTTAATGCCTAGTGATGTGAAAATTAATATAGTGAGTTCTGATTTGGATGGATCCTTAGGAAATACACCATATTGCTATTTTTGTTTTTATCTCAGTCTACCCATATATCTTATTTACTACTGGTATTACAATTGCTTTACTGTAACTAAAACAACCAAACAGCAAATGAAGTTTTCTATTTTACCTGTTAAAACTCCTGAATTCATGATGCTGCTGTCTCATTTCCTCCAAAGACAAACAGGCATGAAACACTACCTCATGCACTGCAGTAACTCTGCTTTATGCTTTTCATATGCTGCCTGCAGGCACGGTGAATAGGAATAAAAATTGGAATACAACACCAAGAGATCTTATTCTGCTCTCTGTATCTATGCCTTTAGCTCCCATATTCTGATTATTTGTTACAGCTCCTACAGCTCTGGCAAATGACAGACTCACAGATATTGTGAACACAGCAGCCTACCTCCCATCAGGGCCTCAGTTCCCAGGGTGAAGGGAAGAATGGCAGAACCAGCATGCTGTTCCCTCCCCATTGCAGAGGCTGAGATCAGTGGCCCATGGAGAATTTCATATTGAGGAAGTCACAAGCAAGTGTTATTAGGAAATCTAATGACAACCCTGGATGAAGATACAATTTTATTCACTAACATCCTGCATTCCAGGAGTATACTGTATTACTGTCCTCTATATCACTTAGCTTCTTACAGCAAAGAAGGGAAGCTTCTTCCCATAAAAGCAAACTGATTCTATATCCTTAATTGCTTCTTTCCCTCTTGTTAATAAGTGGACACAAAAGAACCTTCTTCTACCTCAAGTTCCTGTCTGCAAATGAGGAAAATTTGTCCTGTACTTCCCATACCAAATGAAAATGTATGGGTATCACGAACTTGGAAAACAGCTAGTTTTCTGTATATCCTCAGTACTAAACATATCATTAGCTTCTCAAAAATGAAAGTTTCCAATGAAACAAGAAGAGGATATGAGAAATGTAAAGGTAAAAGAGAAAACAGAACAAAAAGTCTGGTGTTGAGTTTTGTTTGGTTATCCACGTCACCACCAACCCCCCACAAAATTTCCATTTACATGTATGCTATTATTAAGTTGCAATTATAATTCATGGGCTTAGGATTTCATTCATTTATTAACAATAATAGTTACTTGGATTGCCAAGATGAAGCCTCTGTCGTGCTAATAACTGCATATTTGCACAGGAATTCCTGTTCTAAAAAACACACCTAATTAGACAATACAGACAATAAAAATCATCAGACTCATGTTGAGTGAACTGGAAAGAAACATTAAAAATACAAACTAAATAAAGTCCTAGAGGAAACTGTATCAGTCAGGAACTGAACAGAGATCTCCTCAGTATGTAGTTAATTGACACAAAGACTGTGAGACAGCTGCAGGCTCCTTGCTTGAAAACGGCTTCCCCAGGAGCTTCCAGTGTACCTCTAGTTTTATTGGGTTTTGTGAGATTCCAGTAGAGATGTGTGGGTTTGTGCTTGCTTGCTTTCTTCCCACCAAGCTATCCTAACTAATTTTGGCTTTCTGATGATAGTCTGACACATTTAAAGAAGGAGAATCTAACACCGCGTCTAACTGATGAGCTTTCTATGCACATTATCTCCAGCACAATCCCCAGTGAAATTCGCCCTCTGAATACCTGCCCGAAGACACATCCATAGACTACTTGCTGAAAGATATGCAAGCAGGGAGCTTGTATCCATCAGCAGAATCTAATCACAACACTTCTAGTTATGAACATGATTCAGGATCCTATCTATACATTAAGGCCCAAGAAAGAAGAAATAATTTTCCACTTTGCAGAGTCTCTGTGCTATGCTAAATTAAGCAAAATAATAGCAACAGAGACAAACCATGCATTAGGAATAGTTCAGAAACAGCAGGGAGGAGGGAGAGGAGTAACAAGCATTACAGTATCTATTAACTAACAGAATGCTTATGGAAATAAGGATAAGATGCACATGCATTTCAAATGAATCCTTATCTATAGCACCGTAAGAAAATACAGCAAAATAAATTCATCAGGGGGAACAGCTTAAAGCATAACTCTGTAAGCATCCAGCCATCAGTTTCATCAGAAGTGCATATGATTTCTTTTATCACAATGAACTCATTTCACAATCACAAAAAATGTATTCTATATTTCCCACTTATAACCCTGTCTTCGTTAAGTCCAATGTCAAATGTTACCATACTCAATTAGAGCATAAATACAGGTGCATATTAAAAGGGTTTCTAAATCCAAATTTCTTATTTATGTGCTCTTTTACTGATTCTGGAACAACTAATACTTTTGTCTTCAACAGTTAGAGGTAAGACTTGTTGAGGAGGCACATATAGCAAGCAGTACTAGAACTGTTTTCTTCCAGTAAAGCTACACAGTGCAAAGAGAGACATATAATAAATCTACTTGTAGGTAATCATGTATTAGATTTCTCACACAACTGCATCACTGACCATGTCAATCCCTACAATGTGTAAAGCACCTGATTACCCAAAATATTCTGTGTTTAAAAAACTGTTTCAGAGATATTAGTGGGAAAATTCCAAAGCTCATTCAACCAGTGCTCTTGCTGACCGTAGCATATGAAAACTGACAACCAGAAAACCAGGACGAAGTTCAAAGCAATTTTTCAATGCCTCTATTGATTAAACTTTCAAAGCTACCCTGCTTACCAAAAGCTTCCTGCTTTGCGAAGCAACAGATCTGAGACAAGATCACACAGATTTGTGGCACAACAAAACTCATTTTAGTAGTAAGCAAACAGGCAAAATTTCCTAAGAAAGTATTTTCAACTATTAACCTCTTTGTGAAATTCAGTGAAGGAGAACAAAGAAATATGTTCACTTAATGGACTGGCCTAACTGCAATACCTGATGAACTGTTCAATTAAAGTTCTTTAATACCATTTTTAACTGATCCTCCATTCTCAGCCTACCTGGTGTATTCAGCAACCGGGACATCTTGCAAGAATAGGAGATGAACTGCTCACAGTATTCAGCACTACTGGTAATGGCAGAAATCTGGTCCATCGTTGCACTGTAGTTGAGCTGCAGTACAGATAACTGTACTCCCACGGAAGTCTGCATTGGCAGATCATGGTACACAGTTGTCCATACTTTATCCTCTGAAAAAGAGAGGAAAAATACAAGGATTGGTGAGAAACAGACAGTGGAACTGAATCAAATAAATCCAGGCCTTTGATAGAAGACAAAAATGTCCTACAAGTTAGTAGGGAGAAAGGGCATTGCATGTGGAAAGTCATCATGAGAGAGTACAGTTCCAGCAACCATGAACTGACGACAGGAAGAAACCCTGATTGCCTTTGCAGTTTTGACAGCCAATATACAGGGCGAGGAGATTTTCTTGAGGAGCTGAGGCTAATAGTGACGTATGGTACTAATAAGGACTAGCTTTAATCAGAAATTGATTAGGACACAAGGTTGAGGCACTAAAGACGAGCTACTGTAACAACAGGGATGCACCATTCTGTGATTGCACCACTTAGTGATTAATACTGAAAACACTGCAGTTTATCAAGGTCTCCACACTTTCAACTCCAGGTATGTTCCTAGGGTAAACCAAAACTAATGCTTATTGAGACTTGAATATTTTACAGTAGCAGCACCAGATTACCTCATTAACTGTGGTTATGGTATGGATATCAACATAAGATACAATAGCAGTAGGAGACAATGGAAATAGGGCTTCTGTTTAGTTGTGAAAACTCAAAAGGAAAGCAGAAGGACAATCTTATTTTGCTGATAAGAGGCACAGCAGCACCGGCTGTATCTCAACACTTCCCGTAGCCTCATGCACATGCAAAAAACTGCAGTACCCTGTCCACAACAGACCCTGTATTCACTATATTGCTTTGAACTACCAAACAGCAAATCGCTGGAAGTGTTACTACCATTTGTCAGTAGCTACCAGAGGAGATTTAAGACAAGATACCATAATAATAAAGCAACACTCCTTTCGTTGGAGGATTTGTGGGAGTTGCAAGGTAGTTTAGAAAGGAAATAAAGAAAAGGCACGGAAATTTTCCTGTTACAGACCAACCACTACTTTTTCTTAGACAGACATTCCCCAGAACCAAAATGAAAGGAAAATATAAATACCTGAGAAAGAGTTTCAGAATTAAAACAATGAAGATTCAGTTAATGTTAGAGATAACTTTTTTCCTGTATCAGTACTGTTCTATCACTTGGGTGTGAAGAACTTTAAATTCAAGTTGACTAGCCACCAGTGTAAGCAAGCACTGTTTCAGCTGATACTTATTACTCACATTGTCCACCTCAAAACAGCCCAGGACTGAAATAGGTTAATCCTCCTTTATAAATGAAACACACAAATGTTTCTTTTTTTTCTATAATTACCCTTAAACAGATGACCACAGAGCACCTGAGAAGTGCAGCAGGCTTTGTCACTGGTCTTTATCATGTATTGATCTTTCACATTTTATGTTGTTTCTCTTTTAACTTCTCTTTCTGCTGTTTTATATATTTCTGCTACTGAGGACCAAGTCAAAGAAACATTTCTTTGAATAGGAAATGCATAATTTTAGGAAACATCTAAGAGCCTATCCTCGTGCCTTGAACTGACTTGCTAAAAAGCCCTGTTTTCTAGATGAGTCAGCCAGGCCTTTGCCCCAGATGGTTCAGCTGTTTCTGTACAGCCACATCACTGACCACAGTCACCCTTCCATGGATGGGGAGATGAAAACATGCCATGCTGCTAACTTTGAAAAACCAGATTCTCCAAGGGAATCATCAGGCAGTCTCAAAGAATACTAATTCACCTGACAGATGTGCCTTACATCAATAATTCCCATAAAATGTAGTACATAACAGTATGTTTTCAGTTCATCTGTCTAAATCTCATGCCTGTTCATACATACCTCTGGGGCATCCCAAAACTTGTGATATAGTGTGGTTCAGTACCTTAACTACATGAAACTACTTTCATAAACTGAGGCATACTCAGAAGTGCTTCAGCACTTCTTCAACAAGTTCACAGAGAAGTACTTACGTACACTGATGAGTTCTGGGTGTCATCCAGAGTAAAGTTATCTTTCAATGCCACAATTATCTCCAAGACTCCGCACTCTGCCCTATTTTCCAGTCTTAATTTTCACTGCATAGTGTCAGGCTATTTTGGATTAAAAGGAGTCATGTGGACGCATGTGTTTGTAACCGATACGGTGCAAATCTCTCTAATCAAATGTTCAGAGATAAGGTAAGCAGAGCAGACAACTCCTCCACAGGGAGTACACATCACTAGCCAAATGAGATGAAATTCAGCAGGTGATGCAAGATGGTTATTATGTTAATATTCATCTCTTTAGTCCAAAGCTCTGTATCAAACTATACTGTTCTTGCATCAAGAAAGGAAGTAATCTTTATGAAAAAGGGAGGGGAAAGAAGGAAGTGGCATTCCTATTGCTGTATGGCTTTAACTTCCCTCCAGGTACCAAGGAAAAAATCACAATTGTCATCTGTCACATTACACAGAGAACATAACACAGTTTTGTTAAAAGCCTCAGATGGAAGTTTACTGCAGATTCCTTTTCAAGAAAGGACTGATTACACATTCACTGACAGCAATGTCTCACTTTTGGAAGAAAACACTGGACATGTAAGAACTCTAATGTGTTAGTACAGCATGCGTTATGCCAGTTAGTCTCATCTGGAATGAGAAAAAATTCCCAGACTAGCCATTAAGAAGCCATAGGAATGTTATTAGCAATAGAAGCTGTGGTCAGCATTATGTCGGTGAAGGGTGCTCCTTTTGGATACTGGAGTTTATTCAGTGCAGCCCTGACACTTCTCCTCCCAGTGAGGGAGTTGCAGGCTTTAGCGTTGCATGCCATATGAAAGAAGACAGAAACACCTTTATGTCAGTCAAACACATCCCCTGAACAACTTCAGGATCTTCCTGTTGAAGTGCAAGCACTACTAATAGAGAAAAGATGGTTACACCTTGCAACATATCTTTTTATAAATACAGATGCATGTGCGTAAGGCCAATAAGGGTTTCTAGAAGAGTGTCTCGATCTCTTCTTGCTGTCTAGAAGATGATGGGAGATCAGTTAGGGTATACCTGACCAGCTACTGGAAGGAAACGTAGCTCCCACTACACCTCTGTCTTGTTTCCAGACTGGCTCAAATGACTGATCACAGAATCACAGAACCGTCTGGGTTGGAAAGGACCTTAAGATCATCCAGTTCCAACCCCCTGCCATGGGCAGGGATGCCTCACACAACCATCTCTCCCAAGGCTCTGTCCAACCTGACTGATGAGCACTTGATTGTAGCAAGAAAGAATTTACTGGCTTACCAGTGCACAGGGCACTTCCACAGGAAAGCCTGAAATCAGTTTTGTCAGACACGCATAGGATAATAAGCAAGGGATGCACAGAGACTGCCAGTTCCTTGACATTCAGCAAACTGCCTCATCCAAAATCTGGAAGATGAAAGGTCTGTGCCTGGAGTGTGGAGGAAAAGTTGTGGCTGACGCAAAGGAAGAAAGGAAGCTCCTTGTCTGGGTGGGGGATTTCACACTCTTAATACACTTTTCTGATTTAGCTAAAAAGCTCTACCATGATGCATGGACCGAGGAATCTGGAATGACATGGTCTTCCCTCAGCCAGAAAAACATACGAACAGTGTAACATGGACACAGCTGAAAACTCACCTCCCCTTAACACCAAGAGCAGACTCCTGCATCTCATACAGTTATACCACTGGGAACAGCCTTAAGATGTATGGGAAGACTTCAAGGAGAGAGTTGCCAGGGAAGAATCTGAACCTTGTGTTGTGTGCTGATTACAAACTTCAAGCTTGACAATAATGCAAACTTCTCAGAAACTGCTTGTTACTTGAGACCATTCTTCAGAAAGATTTAATCAGTAACCTGCTTGAAGCCAACTTCCCTTAAAGAGAAGGTTAACACAGATAATTCATACTATCTCAAAAGCTGTATCATCACCTTTTATGGAGTAATTCCCATGCAGCTGAGAAAAGTCATAGTTAATGCATCAAAATCTGCAGGAAGAGCTACCTCCTAATTTCTGTCAACAGTACACAGAAATCTTATTTAAGGTACACAAAAGTGAAAAATCTATCCTAGTTAACTGTAATGTGATATATAATCCTGGCAATTACAGTCACCACAGCCTGGCAGTGCTCAAGGCCAGGCTGGACAGAGCCTTGGGCGACATGGTCTACTGTGAGGTGACCCGGCCCACAGCAGGGGGTTAGAACTAGGTGATTTGAAGTCCTTTCCAACCCAACCCTTTCTGTGATTCTATGATTCTCCTAATACACTGGCAACTATTCTAAGAAAGCATAACATATGGCTACTTCTAACAAGTGTTTAGAGACAATTCATTGTCCATCAGAGCTGTGTATTTGACTTCTGTACAGCCAAACACACCTATAAGAAGCAGACATTATTTAATTATAATGCCATTGAGTAGCATAATCTGTAAAATACTGTATATGCTTATTACCTTTTTCATTAAAAACTATATTAAAATGAATACATGCTGAGATTAGTTAATTTAAGGCTAATATGGTTTCTCATAATATTTCTTTACTGCAGACAAGTTAACAGGAAGGTAAAAGCTACTGTTTAAAGGGATGCTAAGTATGTTTTGAATTACAAAAATGCAGTAATAATACAGAGAAGAGCCATGGAATTTTGGTAAAAGACACGGGAGTCAAACAAAAAAGTACACAGTGAAAATCTTCATGCTACTGTACAATTTGTGCTTACGGTCAATCTCACATCACGAGCTCATACAAGCAAGGAGACTTCTCAATTGTGATGTAGTTTAAGGAGCTAGGCTGGATAGCAATAGTTTCTTTTGATATAGTAACAACATTGATATGACAAGAGTTACCTGACTCGCTGACCTGACTTCAGAATAGATTATACAATCATAATTAGGTAAAGCATCGTTGCCAATTGGATTAACTGGATTCAGCTTCTGCCCAAAGTTAATCCTATGCACAGACTTCAATTAATTTCAGATACACTGAAATTTCAAGCATTTGCATTATTCCATTATTAAGTTATTCTAAGACAGACTGATTTTTTTAAAAGATCACTTAAACTCCCAAA